AAATAGGTTGCTGTAAACTATCATGGCATGTTCCCAAAATTGGCACTAGGGTGCTGTAAAACGCCAATTACTATCTAGAATTTATTATTATGAACATCACCTTTCAGTCCCTTCAGAAAAACGCGATTATGTAATCGCATGATTCACTAATCAGCCAAAGTCTGCATATTTATGCGGGGGCATTTTTTCAAATACGCCGCACTTTTGCCGTATAAATTGCCGATTTCCACGCAAAATATGCGGGGCTTGTATGATTTCATAATCCCCGCATTTTTGTTGCAAAAAAAAAGTCACATATATCTTAGCAGAAAGTTGGGTAACACTTTAGAATACGGTTCCTTCGTTAATGAATAACTACACAGGAACAAATGAGTAACACAATATTAACAATCTAGTAACTACTATTAACTAACAAGAAATTCTGATTAACGAATTAGTAAGTAACAGCGCACAGATGAAAGTAGTAGTTCACTATTAACTAATTGATAACTACTTTTTTTTATGCTTCCCAGAGAACTACTGAAGAAGATTAATAGTTCATGCAAAACTAATCAATAACTAATGCAGGACAAATGACTAGCACTACATTAACATTAATAACTGCTGTAAACAAATACACAAGGTTTATCAATATGTAGGCTAATAGCATAGCAGACTTATGATTTGGGAAATAATTAGCCAATGCTCTCTCCTAGAGAACTATTTATCAACTAAATAATTGTAAAGAAATGGCTTTTTAAATGCAGTTTTCGGGACCTACTTGTCCTGTAGTGATTCAATGCCAGTCCAGAGGAATGCCAGAAAATTGGGCAGAGTCACGGTGACGGCTGGAACATATTGAGTTATCGGCCATCCAAATACCATATACAGTGATTATATTATTTAACCTATACCTCGCAAAAAAAAAAAAAGATTTTATTAATGTCTCCTACCTCATACGTGTGTGCAAATATCTTGTGAAGGATTAGAAGATTCTACACTTTAGGATTGGCTTTTCATGTAAGAATCATGGTAACTAACTAGTAATGACTCAAGTGTTAGGCCTACTACATACTTCTAAAGGAATGACTAATTATTTGGATCCGTATTCTAAAGTGAAGATCATGGTAACAAACTAGTAATTACTCAAGTGTTACTACATACTTCTAAAGGAATTACTAATTATTTGGATCCGTATTCTAAAGTGAAGATCACGGTAACTAACTAGTAATTACTCAAGTGTTACTACATAGGCTACTTCTATGGGAATTACTATCTAAAACTTCACCAAAAACCTCAAAAGCTTAAAAGAATTAGTAATTCCTTTAGAAGTATGTAGTAACACTTGAGTAATTACTAGTTAGTTACCGTGATCTTCACTTTAGAATACGGATCCAAATAATTAGTCATTCCTTTAGAAGTATGTAGTAACACTTGAGTCATTACTAGTTAGTTACCATGATTCTTACAGTAGTTCTCTGGGAAGCATTAAAAAAAGTAGTTATTGCTTAGTTAAAGGTATTGTAGGTAGGATTTTTTTTTTTACTTTTTGCCAAATTTGTTTAAACTTTCTATATATATATCAATGCATAATTAAAATGTAAGTACTCTGGAAAAGAGAGTATAAAAATCGAGTGTCTGTAGTCCTCTCAGGGCTGTAATAAACACAGCTACTTATCTCCATTCACTTCCACCCCCTCCATTCTGGGCTCCTTCCAAAACCACGCCCCCAAAACACATGAACGCGCGATGCCGACAGCTCACAGCTGGAGGACGCGCTTACCAGCGCCGAGCGGAGAGGAGCAGTGCATGTAGTGACATCATGTCAGACTCACATGTAATAAAATACCTAACTTTATCATTATGAATATAAACAACTAACATGGCTGTTAGTACTCACTATCAAGCTAGCATATCGATACTGGTAAAGTTTAAAATATATTGAGTTTGATTCGTTAACGAGCTAGTAACATAAAGCAAAGCTAAAAACAGGTTGCATTGATACACGTTTTCCCATTACAATCAGTTACACTGTGATGAAGGTGAATTTCGTGTAAGATTCATAACATATACGCCGTGTTTTGCATGTAATTGTGTCTCTTACTAGTCTCTTACCCTCCTCGAGTCAAACGAGTGCGCGCATGTGGGCAGCGCATGTAGCAGCGGGGGTGTTGCCATGGTTGCGAGAGAGTGACAGTCGCCTAAGCCAATCCTTTGTTTCGTCCCGGAAGGAAATAATGAGCTGTGTTTAGTGCAGATTAAACGGTCTAGAGTCACTCGATTTTTATACTCTTTTTATCAGAGTACTTACATTTTAATTATGCATTAATATATATAGAAAGTTTAAACAAATTTGGGAAAAAGTTTTTTAGACCAAAAACGACCTACCCTACCTTTAATAGTGAACTACCACTTTCATCTGTGCGCTGTTACTTACTAATTTGTAAATCAGAATTTCTTGTTAGTTAATAGTAGTTACTAGATTGTTAATATTGTGTTACTCATTTGTTCCTGTGTAGTTATTCATTAACGAAGGAACCGTATTCTAAAGTGTTACCATTAAGGTCTGAAATAAAACAAGATTAAATATTCCAGCACTTTCTGTGATGTAGTATGTTTGCTTATCATAGGAAGTAATAAGAAATAGCTCTTTACATTAAGGTAGTAGCTAGTGAGAACAGGGTGTTGGGGAATCACTTTTTCTCTCTTTTTCATCAAACCGCAGTTTTTGCAAGTTCCCGCAATTTCATCACATAAAATTGCAAATATCCTGCATATTCCATCGCCGCATAATCAAGGATTTTTGCCCGCAACAATCACAAAAAACTCTGCATTTTTCTGGAAGGACTGACCTTTGGGTCACATCACCACACCATTTTGTCCCCCCCACTTTTATAATGGCTGCTACGCCCCTGATCGTGGGTACAGATAATATAGTCAGTATCACTGAGCTTTAGCTCCACAACATAAGGTCCAGAAAACTTTGCTTGCAACGAAGAGCCAGGAAGTGGTAACAAAACAAGAACTTTGTCTCCCTTCACAAAGGAACGAATGACAGCTTTTTAATAAAAAAACTCCATCTTTATTTGAGTATTTAACAAAGCTGACTGAGCCAGGTCTCGAGGTTTATGCAGACGTTCTCGAAACAAGCTCACATAATCTAAAAGATTGTAAGATGGACCGCGTGTGCCCAAAAACTAACTCTGCGGGACTATACCCCAGAGACTCCTGTACAGTCTCACGTACAGAGAACAACAGCAATGGTAATCCTTCGTCCCATTCTTTTTCTGAATCAACACAATAAGTCTGTAACATGGTTTTCAAGGTTTGATGGAATCGTTCCAGTGCTCCCTGAGACTCGGGCTGGTAAGCGCTGGAAACGATATGTTTAACATGCAACTGAGACGCCACTAGTCCCTGAATTTTCAGGGAACATTCCGGCAAAATCCAGGCCCGCATCTGGGACGAATCGAATACTGCCCCCATGAACGAGATCCGCTGGCTGGGGGACAGCAAGCTTTTGTTCAGTTTGATCCTTAACCCCAAAATGCCAATCTCTAGGTATGGTGAAGGGTGTGTGATGATATGGGGCTATTTTAATTCCAAAGGCCAAGGGAACTTTATCAGGATGCATAGTATCCTGGATAACTGGCCTTTAAAAAATAAAAATCTGCCTGCCTCTATGGGAATTTAACATAGGGATGTCCTCACTTACGCCCCCTGTATTTTAAGGAAGAACATTTATTTATTTACGATACATTATTCATTCACAAAGAAAATTGGTGTCCTTGAAGGTTGGATTTTTCCTTTTTTTTTTTTTATTAAAGCATTAAGATCAATTCCCAAAAGATGATTTTGTATTCCTCTTTTTAGTCAACTTTAGCATGGGTGTGTTCACTTATGCTAAGCACTGTACATGTATATGAAAGTATGCATTTATGCAATATCCTTTGTATCCTTTTCCTTGTGCGGACATTTTTTGGTCCCCATGAGGGGAACAGCTTATGCATCTTATGGCATTACTCGCATGTTACTTCCAAACTCTTTATAGGTCATTGATATAACTAATTAATTTTTTATTTTATTTTTTATACTTGCCATTTCACAAGAGAAATTACTTAAAAAGCTCTCATCCAAACTGTAAAATACTCAAAATATGAGGGTACAGTACAGGGTGCTTTGGAAGATACTATAGTTCTGTACTGTACAGTACTGATACTGGCTCTCTCTGCTGGTCACAATGTGAACAACATGCTTATCTTTACTATGGTTATGGTTTTAGTGGGCCGTCTGAAACCACTTTTGTGGAAATAGGTCAATTTCACATTAGTCAAAGCAATTATTTGACATACACGGAAGGAAGGTGTCACAAAATTAATTTTGTGATGTTTTCCACCCCTCTGTGTAATTAGAGGTAACTTTTGCACTGTGCTCTTGCAAGCATTTATTAACTTAATTTTACAATAGTATCCATTTTACAGAGTTGAGTTTATTACATGTTAATATCATGCTATTATATGTGTACATTAATAGACCGTGTATAGGACATTCACAGTTAGTTGTCAGTGCTTTTATCTCTTCTCTGCAGGTGTTGGGCTTTGATGCTGTAAATAACTGGAGAATTTCCTGTCTCCTGTAAGTCAGTGAAGTGTGTGTGTGTGTGTGTGTGTGTGTGTGTGTGTGTGTGTGTGTGTGTGTGTGTGTGTGTGTGTGTGTGTGTGTGTGTGTGTGTGTGTGTGTGTGTGTGTGTGTGTGTGTGTGTGTGTGTGTGTGTGTGTGTGTGTGTGTGTGTGTGTGTGTGTGTGTGTGTGTGTGTGTGTGCATCCCCTCAGTCTTGATGGGTGGGGAGGAGGAGTTCATCAGCACTGACAGTTATATATACACATATATATATATGGAGAAAGTCATAAAAGCCTGGTCTGATTTGTCACTGAAGTTGTTTGATGATTTCCTCTGTTCTGTCTAATAAGGTAACAGCGAGTGTGATTGGAGGATTTTGAACCTCTTTCTCTCTCATATAGGGGGCTGAGAGGACGCCTGTACTTCTGCATCATCAGTGCGGAGAAGCTTGTACTGGATGTTGAATTAATCAAACAGAGAGAGATGGAGAGATGCCTGACACTCATTTTACTGTCTTCAATTATAATATTCATCACAGCTGGTAAGTAGACAATGAATGAAAGTGACGTTATTTTCAGAAATTCAGTATTGTATTGTTCAAAAACTTCAAATTAAGTTTGACTGTAATGTGGTGCCTCAGATGATAGTATAAAAATAATAATAATAATAATAATAATTAATGAATTTGTTATTTACCGATCATCAGATTATTAGATCTCTGCTGAATTAAAAAAAAAAACTGTACACAATTTCTCGTCAGCTGCAAATTATTTAAGCAGTGTATATACACAGTATAGAAATGGCTTGTGTTACAGCCATACCACATTTTGTTTTACTTTTGTTAGTTTGAGATCCTAAAGAAAATTAAGGTGTGATCAAACATTTTTGTGAAAAACCTAGAAAGAAAAAATACATGGCACCTTATGGCTTCCATATTGCGCCATTAGCACCATACAGAGAAAACTTTGTTGTGCCACTTTTTTTTACCCTATATGTATGTATTTTCTCTTCCTCTTTTCCTATCTTTCATTCTTTCTAATCCCTTTATCTTTCTCACATTGTGTCAGCTCTCTCAGCATCAATCCATGTGAATGTGCGGTTGGTTGGTGGTCACAGTCGCTGTGCTGGTAGAGTGGAGGTTCTTCATAGAGGTCAGTGGGGAACAGTGTGTGGAGATGACTGGGATTTGCCTGATGCTGCAGTGGTGTGTAGAGAGCTGGACTGTGGAGAACCTGTAGATGCTCTGAGCGATGCTTATTTTGGACCAGGATCAGGACCAGTCTGGATGAATTTTGTCATGTGTAAAGGATCAGAGTCAACACTGAAGAACTGTGCATCCGGAGGATGGGAAAAACACAACTGTGATCATAGTAAAGATGCTGGAGTCATCTGCTCGGGTAATATGTGTATAAAGTTGTGTGCTTCCTTATTGGTTTCTCATACTTAAGATGATTTTCATTGTTAAAATGTTTAATTATTCAGTCATTCAAAAGCAAATCAACAAATAATTTTAGTTGATCTATGTTGTCTTATTTAGAAGTCCGGCTGGTTGGAGGTTCTCGCTGCTCTGGGAGGTTAGAGATACTTGACGATCAGTCGTGGGTGTCAGTGTGTGACGCTGCCTTTGACCAGCAGGATGCAGAGGTTGTGTGTAGAGAGCTGGACTGTGGGGCTCCTGTACAGGTGCTGGGAGAAGATGCTTTTGGCAAAGGAGACGCTCAGATGTGGACACAAGAGATTCAGTGCAGAGGAAATGAGTCTCAGATTCACCTCTGTCCAACATCCTTTCATAAAAACGGTTGTTCACATGATAACTACCAGGGGCTGTTCTGTGCTGGTAAGAAATAAAATATGAGATTATTATTATTTGTTATTATTTTACCTTTTACGCCTAGTCTCTCTCTTTATTCTTCTGTCACTTAGATAAAAAGAATGTGAGGCTGGTGGGTGGCCACAGTCGCTGTGCTGGTAGAGTGGAGGTTCTTCATAGAGGTCAGTGGGGAACAGTGTGTGGCAATTTTTGGGATATGACTGACGCTGCAGTGGTGTGTAGAGAACTAGACTGTGGAAAACCTCTAGATGCTCTGAGTGATTCTCAGTTTGGACAAGGATCAGAACCAATATGGATGAGTGCTGTTTTATGTGCTGGATCAGAGTCAACACTGAAGAACTGTGGGGCATCAGGATGGAGCATAAATATCTGTACTCAGCATTCAAATGCCGGGGTCATCTGTTCAGGTAAATAATGCTGGGCTTAAAAGCATTCTCTTGCTTTTCTACTTTTGCCAATGAATTTATGTGTACACAAGTAATGCTTTTGTTTTATGTGGAAAACTTTGTTAACAAATATGTATTGTTACACGTTTTGTCTGCATTACGTCTGTAATATATTTTTTCTGTATTTTTTTCTACTGTTGATGTAATACACACAGGTCATAAACCTTCCAGACTTGCTGCTGGTCCTCACCTGTGCTCTGGGAGGTTAGAGATACTTGATGATCAGTCGTGGGTGTCAGTGTGTGACGCTGCCTTTGACCAGCAGGATGCAGAGGTTGTGTGTAGAGAGCTGGACTGTGGGGCTCCTGTACAGGTGCTGGGAGAAGATGCTTTTGGCAAAGGAGACGCTCAGATGTGGACACAAGAGATTCAGTGCAGAGGAAATGAGTCTTATATATCATTCTGTTCAATATCATCATCACAGAAACACAACTGCAACAGTGACAATAATGTTGGCCTGATGTGTTCTGGTAAAGAATCAATATACAATGTCTTTTATTTTTGATGTAAGATTTATATTACAAAAATGTATTCCCCCAAGTTGTTTATTTTTTGTATTGTTACTATATAGTTAAAGTACACAATGTAACTTTTTGTTCAGAATTAACTAAATTTAAATAATGAGTGATGATTACATCATAAATTCATCTTCCAAACCTTGTTTTTGTCTCACCCTGATTCATTGGCGCCGCTTAGTGTTTATGCCTGTGGGTGCCCACCAAAACAAACGGATACAACTACAAACTGCTATGGGCCAAAAGTTACATAGTGCATCTTTAAGAATTGTTTGACCTCTTTACATCACACAAAGAGAAGATTTTTCTCAGTCAAGATAAAGTCTTGTAATGACAAAAGTTTTTTGCACAGGTTACACAGATCTCAGACTGGTGAACGGCTCAGACTCTTGTTCTGGAAGAGTGGAGCTTCGGTTCCTCAATGAATGGGGCACAGTGTGTGATGCATGCTGGGATATGAGAGCTGCCAGTGTCCTCTGTAGACAGCTGAATTGTGGGATTGCTGTGTCTGTTGTGGGATCAGACTGGTTTGGAGAGGGAAGTGGTGAAATCTGGGCTGATGTGTTTGATTGTGACGGGAATGAAACAAAACTCTCAGAATGTTCCGTCTCTTCATGGAGTCGAGCTGAACGTTCTCATAGACGAGATGTTGGAGTCATTTGCTCTGGTAAACTTATTTGACACACTACTGTAAAACCCGCTATATAATATATATTTTATATTGTTGAAACACAAGTCTTACTTTAGTAAAACATGAGATCTTCTCCTCAGATTCTTCTCTGGCTGTTCATGACGGTCTGGTGCGGTTGTCTGGAGAGAGACCGTGTGAGGGGGAGCTGGAAGTTTCCATCCATCAGGTCTGGAGGAGAGTTCTGCTGGACTCCTGGAGTCTCACTGAATCCTCTGTGGTCTGCAGACAGCTGGGCTGTGGCTCTGTGCTGAACTTCTCCGGCTCCTCTTCATCCAGTCCTGAACACAGTCATGAGTGTGTGACGGGCTTCCAGTGCTCTGGGAGTGAAGCTCATCTGGGGAACTGCAGCTCTCCACACACTCTCAACTGCAGCTCCACACAACAGCTGTCAATCACCTGCCTTGGTGAGAACAAAAACATCTGGGCAGATTCTTCAGTTGTTGGTGATCAATAATGTGTTTTTCTCTCTCTGAATATCAGGTCGCGGGTCCATCAGGCTGGTGGGTTCTGGGGGAGACTGTGCAGGGAGGCTGGAGGTTTTTCACAGCGGCTCATGGGGGACAGTGTGTGATGACTCCTGGGATATTAAAGATGCCCATGTGGTGTGCAGACAGCTGCAGTGTGGAGTGGCCCTCAGTAACCAGCAGGTACCAGCCTGGTTTGGTCCTGGTTCTGGACCCATATGGCTGGATGAGGTGGAGTGTGAGGGGAATGAGACGTCCCTGTGGAACTGCTCTTCTCCAGGCTGGGGGAAACATGACTGTCGACACAAGGAGGATGTAGGAGTCGTGTGCTCAGGTAAACATGCTGATATGTGTTTAAATTAAAATTAAAATTAATAAAAAAGTTTTAGAAAGTTCAACCCATTTACACGTTCATAATGCCAACACTTTTAAAATGTACTGTTTTTTCCCACTTCTATCTAGAGTTTAAAGAGATCAGGTTAACTGAGGGCTGTGAAGGGAATGTGGAGGTTTTCTACAATGGATCCTGGGGTAATGTGTGTTACCATAAGATGGACAGAGACACAGTGAGTCTGATCTGTCAAGAGCTGAACTGTGGAAGATCTGGTGTTTTGTCTGATTCTACACCAAGATTGCAATCAGCTCGTAACTGGCTGGATGAATTGAAATGTCGACCACATGATTCAAACCTGTGGCAGTGTCCATCTTTACCCTGGGGACAGAATGACTGCGACAGAGATGAAGTGGCCAAAATCACCTGCTCTGGCAAGACTGATGCAATTTCCATTACTAATAAACAGCAGTAATCCTTTATATGAATTGTGTATATAATATTGTGATTACAGACCAGAAGAGTCATGATTCCACTCATTTGTCTTGCTCCACATCTCCACATCAGAGACAGTGTATGGCTCCTACTTTAGTGAACAGTAAGTTAATTTGATGTAGAAGAACATACAAATCATAACAGCCATATGTGATGTATGAATGTGATTTTGTTCTGGGTACACCGACAGGATTTAATATCACACCACACACATACCCCACTGTATGTGTCGCTGTTCCGACAGAACTCTGTTGGCCAATAATGTGTCTACTTGTCTGTGATTTAGATCATGTTCCTCTCAGACTGAGTGGAGGTTTGGGCCGGTGCTCTGGGAGGCTGGAGGTGTATCATAACGCTGTGTGGGGTTCAGTCTGTGCTGATCTGTGGGACATCAGCGATGCTCAGGTGGTCTGCAGGCAGCTGGGTTGTGGAGACGCACTGAGGGCTGATGGGAATTCAGTCTTTGGTGCTGGTGAAGGTGTTGTGTGGCTGAACAGAGTCGAGTGCAGAGGGAATGAGATTCACCTGTGGGACTGTCCTCTCTCCCTGAAGAAACACACTGACTGTTCTCACAAAGAGCACGCTGGACTCACATGTGCAGGTCACAGCAACACACTGACCGATATTAGTCATTTTCACATAATTTTAGGGCATATAATATTTGTGTGTTCAAGACAATCATCATTTTAAATGTGTTTACAGATTTGTCAGTGCAGGTCACAGCAACACTCTTAAGAATAGTATTAATTTTTACATCCTTTTTGGTGCTTATATTATTTGTGTATTTGCATGATTTTGAATGTGTTTGTGTGTGTTTTGCCAGATTTGTCAGTGTCCACTACTCCTGCCACAACAACATCAGCTTCTCCTCCAGTTTCTCAGACAGTGCGCTCAACATCAGTCACTCCTCCACAAACTCCTCCAGCAGCGTCTCTCTCTGTGCTTGTGGTTGTACTGGGAGTTTTGCTCTTACTGCTCTTAGTGCCACTGCTTATACTGGTTCAGCAGAACAGAGTGATGAGGAGAGGTAGGAGAGATCCAGAGACTGTCATATTGTGTCTTATTCAGTGTGTGATCAGTCATGTGTTGTGAACTGACAGCAGGTTTGTCTGTCTACACTCACAGCTCTCTCTAAGAGCAGACACAGGACGACGACTGAGGCCGTTTATGAGGAGATTCATCACAGACCCACTAATAGACAGAGTTTCTTCACTCAGAGGGGTGAGTAAATGTCATAGAGTCTGATTTGTGGAGATCATAATCACTTTATTCATAGGGAAAGTAGAATAAATCACATAGATCCAGTTGTGGGATTTTTGTGCGTTATCTGAAATGATACAGGTTTAGTGTTGAGATTCAAAGGAAATGGGGATTTTGGTTAATTTACGACTGTGACCGTGTGTCTGATGAATCTACTTCTCCATAATAGGAAGTGTCCTTTCAGAAGAACAGCATTCTGGGTATGAAGATGCTGATGAGCTTCTTTCAGGTTAGAGGACTCAAATATAAATCAATATAACTCTAATCTGATCTGCTACATACAGAAATGAATGGATGTTAAATTAATTAAAAACATTCGCTTAACTGAGTTTAAATTATATAAACCATCCAGCACGCAATAATTCAAATAAGGATTTATTGAATCTCTCTTTTTTTTCATCTACTCTTTTTATTTTATTTTATTTTTATCTGCAGTAGGAGCCGCACCTCACTACTATAATGACATCAGCACTGAAGGGCCAAATGAAGGTCAGTGACTTTAACTGATTTCACTACATTAAATGAACTGTTGGGCCTATGAATAGTAAAAGCAGTTTTTGTTGTTAACTCATTTAGAAGAGCAGCAAATCACACCTGAGAATTATGATGACATAATCACTGTTGGACTGAGATCTCGTGATACAGGTTTATTTCTTATAATCATTTCTACAGGTTTTAACAATATAGATTTATATGCATTTTAATTATACATATGCAGTGTTTCAAAATCCAAAATCTTGCACATTTAATGGATGCATTTAATTTTTTTGTTTATTTGCCTTTTGATTTGCCAGAAAACTATGATGATGTCATCATTGTACGACAATTCTCCAATGATAAAGCAGGTGTGGGATTCAAATTACTCTCTCAAATTACTTTTTTTTTCTTTGTTTGTTTGTTTGTTTGTCTTCAAATTATAGTGGCATATAAACTCACGTAATTAATAATAGAAACATTTATATTAGACTGTGTTCAGGAGGAGTATGATGATGTGAAGAATGTCAGGGAATATATGAGTGACATGTTTGGTACGTTACTGACACCTTTTTACTTTACACTGAATTTGTTTAATTTTTATTATCGCTTTAATATCAATTTATGTGATCATGATAGCTCATTTAACTTGACTGCCAATATTGATGTGTTTATTTATAATACTTTTTAAAGCATATATTGATAAATTAATTTGCTCTTGTTTTCTAATAACAGACTATGATGATGTGGGGGAGGAGCCAGGAAAACAGGGAGGGACTTTATAACTGAAACCACACCCAGTGCCTCAAATCCTTTCAAAGCTTTTAAGTTTTCTGCAAAGTTTAAGTGTCTTTGATGCTATACAACTGCTGTTCACCAATCTTTTATGTAGCATTTTGTATTGAAATCTACCAAATCAATTATGTTGAATCAGGTTTTGGCCAACAACAAAAAAAATGCTTTGCTTTAATGTCTTTTTCAATGTTTAAATTTCTCTTTCCAGGGGTTTTTACAAATCGCATTTTTTTTTGATCCCACTGCACTTAAACATTTTTATCAATCTGTTTATAATTATTAATATATCAGATGCTTTAACTTCCACTGCTCCAGCCTTTAATATTTCACAGCATCTTCAATCTATACAAATATAATTTTTCTTTTGAATGTAGACCCACTGATGGTGGAAATATATATTGTGCTAAAGAATGTTGGAATGTACTTTGGGAAATAAGTTGACAAACAGCAGCTGTGATCAAGGATCTTTCCCTCAAAAGAATGCAATGACTCTTTGAACTGAGCAGAAGAGCATGTTGTTCACTTTATGTCCTGCAGAGGGTTTTTTTGACAGTCAGACATACCAAGCATGCATACATTTGATTGATGTACTTGTTTTATATTTGTGTCCGATTTTAATGTTTTTTAAATTGATTTTAATGTTTTCTGATTAGCAATTAAAAACAGACTGAATATGCATGGATATTATGTCATTATATTGTGAAATTGGAGAATGTTGCAACATTGTTTTTCAACAAAATGTTTTTTTTTTTGTACAAAAAAATGCAAAAAGCAATAAACTTCTATGAAATATTGTATACTGTAATTCTTGTAATAGTACTTTGATATGTCTCTCTGTCTTCTCAGTGTTTGTTGTCAGCAGTTAGTTATCAGTGCTTGTATCTCTTCTCTGCAGGTGTCAGACTTTGGCGCTGTATGTACACTGAAGTGTTTCCCACATTCACTCTCATGACAGCTGGGTGAGTTTATCATTTTTGTGTCTCTGTTATGTGGAGGAGGAGTCCCTTTCATCAGCAGTGACGTTCTCTTGATATTTAGATATATTGGCTTATTTGTCGTTGTATCTGTTCTCTTGAAGTTTAACTCTGAATGTGATTGGTGGTCGTCAGAAGCCCCTCCTCTCTCTACCTTTATCTTTCTCACCAGAGCAGACAACGGTCTCTTTTTCTTCAGAATTGCTAAGAGAGCTGATGAAAAGTTAGTGAGTGCAGAGCAGAAGAAGATGAAGAGCTGTCTGACAATCTTTCTGATGTCCACAGTCGTCACACTCACCAGTGCAGGTATTTTACACTCGGTTAAAGGGTCAAACAGTTCCTTTCAACATATTAAATGAAAGTAGTTTAATATTTAACATAGGCTAAGGATCTTACAGCCTACCATCAATGACAGTTCTCTGAGTTTAAATTATATAGACTTTTTGTATTTCCTTACTGATATTTTTTTTATTTAACATTCGTTTTTCATAAAGGCACCTTGTAGAATGTGTCCTACCCTCAGAAATTGTGTTCAAGACCTCCTTGGAGAGACGTGAAGACTCCTGTCGAGAGGCCACAGATAGAGGCTCCACAACTTGGGTTGGGGATGCTAAATTGACCCCTCCGGATGGGAAAAGGAGGTCCCTCCTCAGCGGCATTGGCCATGGAGCTGCTAATAGAAGCTGAAATATTCCCAGGAACCACGGCTGGTTCTGCCAGAGTAGTGCCACGAGTAAAACTGAGCCTCTTCATTCAACCAGTGTTGTAGTGGCCGCATATGTAACAGTCCCAAGGGAACTACTGACATTTTCAAGGGGAGTTTCTCCCCAACTTTGAATGACTCCAGTAGTCTCTGAATTTTCAGGGAACGTTCTGGTGAAATCCAGGCACGCGTTTTGGACGAATTGAATAAACTGCTCCCCCCAGGAACGAGATGTGTCCGCTGGGCGCCAGCAAGCTTTTGCTCAGCTTGATCCTGAACCCCAGACTCTCCAAGTGGCTGAGGAGCAGAGATCTGTGCGCGCATAGTTCCTCCTTCGATTGGGCTAAGAGCAATCAATCATTGAAGTAATTCAGGATGCATACTCCCATCCGTCTCAGGGGGGAGAGGGCCGCAACCGTGCATTTAGTGAAGGTGCACGGAGCTAGGGACAGTCCAAATGGTGGAACTGTATATTGGTAAGCCACCCCTTCGAAAGCAAATATCAAGAATGGTCTGTGTTGGGGAGCTATATGGATATGAAAGTATGCGTCTATGCAATATCCTCTGTATTTTTGTAAATTGAGGGTACAGTACTGGGTGCTTTGGCAGATACTGTAGTACTGTACTGTACACTGTAGTACTGGCTCTCTCTGCTGTTCACAAGGTGAATCTGAAACCACTTTTGTGGAATTAGATTAATTTCACATTAGTCAAAGCAATTATTTGATATACACGGAAGTAAGGTGTCACAAAATTAATGTCCAGCCCTCTGTGTAATTAGAGCTAACTTTTGCACTGTGCTCTTGCAAGCACTTATTAACTTAATTTTTTAAACACCATTTAGAGAGTTTATTACATGTTAATATCATGCTAACATATGTATACAGTACATTAATAGACAGTGTTAAGGACATTCAGAGTTAGTTATCAGTGCTTTTATCTCTTCTCTGCAGGTGTTGGGCTTTGATGCTGTATATAAACTGGAGAGTTTCCTGTCTCTTGTGTGTTTGTGTGTGTGTGTGTTTGTGTGTGTGTGTGTGTGTGTTTCTGCATCCCCTCAGTCTTGATGGGTGGGGAGGAGGAGTTCATCAGCACTGACAGTTATATATACACATATATATATATGGAGAAAGTCATAAAAGCCTGGTCTGATTTGTCACTGAAGTTGTTTGATGATTTCCTCTGTTCTGTCTAATAAGGTAACAGTGAGTGTGATTGGAGGGTTTTGAACCTCTTTCTCTCTCATATAGGGGGCTGAGAGGACGCCTGTACTTCTGCATCATCAGTGCGGAGAAGCTTGTACTGGATGTTGAATTAATCAAGCAGAGAGAGATGGAGAGATGCCTGACACTCATTTTACTGTCTTCAATAATAATACTCATCACAGCTGGTAAGTAGATGTGAAATTAAAGAGATCGTTTTTTTTTGTTTTGTTTTTTTAGAAATGAAGGGCTTTTTTGTCTTGTTGTCTTGTGATTGCAATTACATTTTTCATGTGATATCAACATTGTAAATGTTGTCTCAATCTTCTGTTATCTAAAAAAAAAAAAAAAAAAATCCATACATTGATCACCTTTTCTCTGATTGAAAACGACTTAATCGCCATGTGTCAAACATTATTCTATAACCATGCAGGCATCTCTGTCCCTTGAGTTGAGTGGCAGTAAAATTGATACATTTGGAGTTCTGATTTGATAAACATTGATTTGGAAATAATAGTGACAGACAAGTTAGCTCGAGCAAGTCCAATGAACATTTTTATTAAAAAAGAAATCATTCATAATGAACTCATTCATAACCAAGCAGGATAAATGCAGTTTTATGTTATGTCAAGAAATTTTGATCATGACAAAAAAGACAAAAAAAAAACCTAAAGGCCTTTTATAGGGTTACAATGTTAGTCTCTTAAACAATGCCAAGACCTCAGCTAGAAGAACTATATAGAGGGAACAAATATATATTAAAAGAATACACAAGTTTAATATAGTTTAAGCTCAATCAACATAATTTGTGGCATACTTTTACCTAAAGAATACATTTCTACTTGTCCCCCCTTTAAAAAAGGGGGTTTTATGTCAACTTTAAAATACTGTTTTAATAATATAAAAACAAGACGTAAACAAATATGTGTTAACATGATCATAGTGTGGAAACAATTGCTTACTAGCCTTTTCTGTGCAAAGTTATTTCCAGTTTTAAACTTTGTTTCCATGACAACATAATGGTAAAAAACCCTGTAATTGTGTTTAACTATTTACAGCTGAAACAATTATGCATTTTAGGATAATTAAAATGATACAATTTAAATTGTAAATTGTAAAAAATAATAAAAATTGATTTAAGTGCTTTTTATAAAATTATAAGCTTCACATTTCTGTCTTTAAACCCTACATTTAAATAAAAAAAATGTTAATCAAATTGAACTCTGAATATTAATTTTAAATACTCAAATGTATGTGTCCCATTTTCCCAGTTGTATCACTTTGTAATGCTAAATTGAACTCTCATCCCTTCATCTTTCATCTCTCATTGTTACCACTTAATATTTAGACCGTGTGAATGTGAGGCTAGTTGGTGGTCACAGTCGCTGTGCTGGTAGAGTGGAGGTTCTTCATTGAGGTCAGTGGGGAACAGTGTGTGGTGTTGACTGGGATTTGGCTGATGCGGCAGTGGTGTGTAGAGAGCTGGACTGTAGAGAACCTGTAGATGCTCTGAGCGATGCTCATTTTGGACCAGGATCAGGACCAATCTGGATGAGTTTTGTCATGTGTACTGGATCAGAGTCTACACTGAAGAACTGTGGGTCATCAGGATGGGGTAAAAGCAACCGTGATCACAGTAAAGATGCTGGAATCATCTGCTCAGGTAAAGTATTTTACATATTAAAATTAATATGCGCTTCCAAATTGGCTCCTAATTTTTTAAGTTTTAAAATGTGTTGACTTCAATAAAAAAATAAATGTTATATTTATATTTGTTGTGGTTTTCTTTTGTGTTTTTACTTTATTTATTTATTATAAGATATAAATGTCTTTGATGTACACATCATTATCTTGAAGCCCCATAAATAAGCCATGCTTTTGTTGATCTGTGTTGTTCTTTCAGAAGTCCGGCTGGTTGGAGGTTCTCGCTGCTCTGGGAGGTTAGAGATACTTGATGATCAGTCGTGGGTGTCAGTGTGTGACGCTGCCTTTGACCAGCAGGATGCAGAGGTTGTGTGTAGAGAGCTGGACTGTGGGGCTCCTGTACAGGTGCTGGGAGAAGATGCTTTTGGCAAAGGAGACGCTCAGATGTGGACACAAGAGATTCAGTGCAGAGGAAATGAGTCTCAGATTTCATTTTGCTCAATTTCATTATCACACAAACAAAGCTGTACCAGTGACCATAATGTGGGTCTGATCTGTTCTGGTAAATTATAAATATTCAGTGTCTCTTTGTTTGTATTTAAAACAGTATATGTTCTCTGTCAGCTGCATTATACTTTATTTTAACCTCTATGTTCTTTATTCAGGTTACACAGATGCTAAACTGATGAACGGTTCAGACTCCTGTTCTGGAAGAGTGGAGCTTCGGTTCCTCAATGAATGGGGCACAGTGTGCGATGCATGCTGGGATATGAGAGCTGCCAGTGTCCTCTGTAGACAGCTGAATTGTGGGATTGCTGTGTCTGTTGTGGGATTAGACTGGTTTGGAGAGGGAAGTGGTGAAATCTGGGCTGATGTGTTTGATTGTGACGGGAATGAAACAAAACTCTCAGAATGTTCCATCTCTTCATGGAGTCGAGCTGAATGTTCTCATAGACGAGATGTTGGAGTCGTCTGCTCTGGTAAACTTATTTGACACAGAGAGCATTATGCTCTTTTTCACCATGTTATAACAATTCTTATTTTAGTAAAAGATGAGATCTTCTCTCTAGATTCCTCTCTGGCTGTTCATGACGGTCTGGTGCGGTTGTCTGGAGAGAGACAGTGTGAGGGGGAGCTGGAAGTTTCCATCCATCAGGTCTGGAGGAGAGTTCTGCTGGACTCCTGGAGTCTCACTGAATCCTCTGTGGTCTGCAGACAGCTGGGCTGTGGCTCTGTGCTGAACTTCTCCGGCTCCTCTTCATCCAGTCCTGAACACAGTCATGAGTGTGTGACGGGCTTCCAGTGCTCTGGGAGTGAAGCTCATCTGTGGAACTGCAGCTCTCCACAAACCCTCAACTGCAGCTCCACACAACAGCTGTCAATCACCTGCCTTGGTGAGAACAACAACATCTGGGCAGATTCTTCAGTTGTTAGTGATCAATAATGTGTTTTTCTCTCTCTGAATATCAGGTCGCGGGTCCATCCGGCTGGTGGGTTCTGGGGGAGACTGTGCAGGGAGGCTGGAGGTTTTTCACAGCGGCTCATGGGGGACAGTGTGTGATGACTCCTGGGATATTAAAGATGCCCATGTGGTGTGCAGACAGCTGCAGTGTGGAGTGGCCCTCAGTATCCAGCAGGTCCCAGCCTGGTTTGGTCCTGTTTCTGGACCCATATGGCTGGATGAGGTGGAGTGTGAGAGGAATGAGACATCCCTGTGGAACTGCTCTTCTCCCGGCTGGGGAAAACATGACTGTCGACACAAGGAGGATGTAGGAGTCGTGTGCTCAGGTAAACCCAACTAAAAAACAAAGCTATTTTGTAACATTTAAGTTCGATGAAAGCTATTAGGTTGTGTTCATGTTTACATCTAGACTTTAAAGAGATCAGGTTAACTGAGGGCTGTGAAGGGAATGTGGAAGTTTTCTACAATGGATCCTGGGGTAATGTGTGCTGGAACCAGATGAACTCAGACACAGTGAGTCTGATCTGTCAAGAGCTGAACTGTGGAAGATCTGGTGCTTTTTCCAATTCTATAACAAGGGTGGAATCAGCTCGTAACTGGCTGGATAAAGTAAAATGTCGACCACATGATACAATTCTGTGGCAGTGTCCATCTTCACCCTTGGGAAAGAATGACTGTGGCGAAAATGAAGTGGCCAAAATCACCTGCACAGGTAAGGTATAATATAATATATTCTCCACCTTTTTTCCTGAGCAACCAATGAGTGCTGCCATGACAGATTCGAACTTCCGTTGTCCTATTTCTGGTCTCCATAGTAACCTATGTTATTAATTGATAAAAACAGCAACTGAATTCATTAAAAAGAAACTTTTTGAACACTACTAAGAATAAAAATAAGCTCAGGGTCAAGCCAATAAAAATAAGGAATTAAACTGTTTTGAGCACTACCCCACACACATGTATGAATTGCATATTGTGCCAAATACTGATGAGAGAAAAGGACCATGGCTTGCAGCTCCAGAAGTTAAAATACTCCCCAAATAACCCAAATAAGGTATTTGAGTGCTGATATCATTTTGTGGACAAAACTCCCACTTAACTTCACTGCGATATGCAGCTGTATTGGGATATGAACGCCCACCTGTTATCAGTATAGTTTAACTCAGGCCACTTCATGTCATCTACTCACATTGAACTCTTGACAGCTGCGGCACTGCCAAAAGACAGTCATTGCGACACTGTAAATTGTCAGCATTATGGAGACATATCCTTTTTTGGTAACACTTTACAATAAGGTTTCATTACTTAACATTAGCATGTTTATTAATAAACATTAACAAAAATGAATAATGTTTATAATGCTTCTGAATCCAGAACATAAAAGTCTTGAGTCCCCCCTAAGCTATTTGACAAGGTCTACATCTCCCTACAAGAGACAGTGTTCAGGTAAGTTAATTTGATGGCAAAGAACATCATAACAGTTATGTGACTGGAATTAATCTCACACAACACAAATACTTCCCCCTGCAGACACTGCTGTTCTGGTAGTACTCTTCTGGGTATTAATGTGTTGTCTTCTATGTGTAATTTAGAACGCCTTCCTCTCAGACTGAGTGGAGGTTTGGGCCGGTGCTCTGGGAGGCTAAAGGTGTATCATAACGCTAACCCCCTAACTACAGATGGTAGTCGCCGGCGTCGCTGCTCAAAGTGTGGGGCGCGCCCCACTAGTGGGGAATAGAAACGTGACAGGTGGGGCGCGCCAACGGGAGGAAATTTTCCTTTTTATGCCTTTATCTTTATTCGGTCATGGCGAGTCCGCATCGTCAAGTTAATCTTTGCAACGACGCAGAAAACACCAGTTTTGCCGGTTCGTGCGCTTGAGTGCGGCTTTATAGCACTCATTATCCTGTATAGCCTATTTAAGTTATTAAAGGTGCCCTAGAATGTTTTTTTTTATTATTTTATAATGTTTCCTGGGTTACCCTTATAATGTTAGTATGTTTTTTAGATAAAAAAATAATCATAATTTAGAAATAAATGGCATTTTTCCTAGCCTGCTTTTAGCCTCTGATTTGAACACTCTGTTTGAAGGGGCGTGTCTGCTGTGGGATTCAGTGTAACCGCGGCCACTGCTGTGATTGGCTGACATGCTTGCATATGAAATAGCTACGCATTACATGTGAAACTCTCTCCCGAATACTTTTACTACTGCTATTATACGTTTTTACTATAACAGCTATCGAGATTAACGAATCGTGAGATGTTTTTAAAGTATTTAGATCTATTCCCATCACATAAAATGTTGCCGTGATGAGCATTGAGCAGATGACAGTGTGTTGATCGCGAGAATGAAGATCTTATCATTGCAAAGCAGTTTCTGCACTCTCTCTGCTTTCACCAATGCAAACACGATGATGTAAATACAGTAAGAGCTTCGTTGTGCAGTAACGTGCGTCATTGATTTCATAACGAGTTTGGCAAGTGTCCAGATAAACTCGCGCTGTGTGGAAAGATTTTCTTTGATCGCTTTCTGTATATAATTTGTTCACAATTTAAATACGATTATTTTCATCCTACTAAAAGAAACGATGTGAAGCTGATATTTTAGTCACTGGCTTGACTTACTGATGCATAAACAGTATTGAACGATTTTGAGAGAAAGATTACCTGTCTGAACTTGAACAATTACACATCAGAAAGTGTTGCTTGGTAGCTCGATCCGAGGCCAGCTCTGTATTGGCCCAAGTTGAGGAAACAGTCGGTGAAATGTTTGGAAATTTCCAGAGAAAATAAAATTAACCCATTGTTTCTTCAGAGGCTCAGATGAAGGAACTAAAAAATACTTTTGTGTTCATGTGTACATCCACACTGAGCAACTGCCATGCTTCGGCTGCGCAGTTCCGCCTGGCATTGAGGGCTGGCATTATGCAAATATTTGGAGGCGTACATATTAATGATCCCGACTATTGCGTCACAGTCGGTATTGTGTGGAGAACCGACCGTTTTTCAGGGGTGTTTTTCATAAACGTGAATTAAATGAGAACGCGAAAACAGTCCAGTTTGAGATTCACTCTATGTCATGTCCATGCACTGAACTCTTGTTATTTGACTATACCAAGTTAAATTCAATTTTGAATTATAGGTCACCTTTAAATCAATATAAAGGGGCGATTTGTCCAATAATGGCTTAAATAAACAACTACTAGTCGACTAGAAAAAAACTTTAGTCGGAGGCAGCCCTTATTCCACATATTTTCGAACCAGCAGGGTTGAGCGCGCGACCCTGAGCACCGGAATGAGCGAGCCGAGGAATATTCAGAAATGCGCTCTCCGCTCACATGCTCTGATCGGAACAAAGGAATATTAAAATAATGAATCATTAGTTTATATCTCATACACTGCCCATCATATTAATCCCATATCAAACACAGTAGCTAGCCTATGTTATGTCTATTTTAAAAATTTTAAATAGACCTGTCTTGCCAAATGGATTTCTCTTCATTTCTTTTTTTAACAGATTGCAAAGTGGCACTTATTTCTTTTCTATTTTTGAACTTGATACACATTTTGACACAGCTGCACTTTTATTTTCTCTATTTTTGAATTCCATGCAAGTTATGACACAGCTGCACTTTTATTTTCTTTATTTTTGAACTTGCTGTTATGTTATTTGATGTAGATAGTTAGTTTGTATTTAGATACTACTTGTTACTTCAATAAATTGGAACATTTTAAGCTTGTTGCGTATTTCATTGGCACTGTGTTGGGGCGATGGGGGCAGTGGGGCTTAAATTCCCCCTTGTCCAAAGTGGGGAATGACCAAAAAAGTTTGAGAACCACTGCGTTAAGTCAACCAACCGTGTCAGATCGTTGTCTTCCCTGGACTTGGAAATTTGACCGCAAAAATGAAACGAGTCTATCCATTGGGTGCAGAAAAAAGAAGAATGTTTAAATCACTTTAGAAGGAAGCAAAGAAATTACTGGTCCAACTTCTCCCTCTTTTTAAAGTGTGGAAAAGGGAAAAGTTCAAAGATCGAGACTCCAGCAACACCTGTAGCCTATATGCAACAACAGTAGATATACCCGGCAGCTTCTGTCAAGATGATTTATGACCCTATTGTAACCCTTATTACGAGGTAGTAATAATAATGTACATAGGTTTAATAGTCTGAAGTAGTCGTAGAGAATATCATGAATACGATTTGGACCAAAATCAGAAGACACTAAATTGTTAAGAGCCTGAGAATTGAATATCAATAAAAAAAAATATACCACACCAGAATGACAGTTTAGACAACCTGTATTAAATTCACAGGGTGGAGCATACATACAAGGGAAACAAACATATATATGAAAAATAACAAATTAAAATAATAAAGTGCGCACGTAAACAAACAAAACACTCTCTTTTCAGTATCTTTGAGCTCAGTTCGTCCTCGGTTCGACTTGCCCTGGTTGACAAAAGTTCAGTTTCACCGTTGGGTTTTTTTTCCAGGTTGAGTTAGTGTTTGTCCTACCACAATGAAGATGAAGAGGATGAAATCAGTTCGTCTAAAGCACTCTGATTCGTTGTCAAACACGGTTGGCTCGCCACCCAGCCACTCAGACTGGGAATCAATGCATCTTTGGAAGAACGTCTGGATCTGGATCACTCCATGCAAAGGATCTCTGCCCGATGTTCCCAACTCTTTACCAAAACCTGACCTATAAATAAGGCCAAATCATTTCTTTCAATTACCATTCAGCGAATAAATGGACTGTTACAGGCTTCTACAAAATAAAATGAGATAATATTTCAGTACACCTATAATGCAATATAAAAATCTTTCTCTCGTTGTACAACAGCTCTTATGTTTCTTCTCAGGTATCAAAACTAAATGAATTTTTCTCTAGTATCAAAAGTAAATTTACATAATTTGCATCCTTCATAAAGACACATTTCACATTCAAGTTTTATGAAACCTTATGGTAGTCACATTAACAGTATGAAGAATAAAACTGCATGAATTGCATGTAAACATTAATCAAATTGTATCACTTTAAATTAGAGGCATTAAGGCGTTAGTGTGCTTATTTATCCCCCTCTGCACCGGTAACAGTTGAAAGAATGCACAAAAATTTTTTACCTCTTTTAAGCTTCAGTGACCACAATTAAATCCACAATTTTTAACATCATTATTTAACAAACTAACTATTTAGCAACAATATAAAAAGTTAACATCCCTTTTTATAACCCACAAACGAAATAACTTGATAGTTTCAAAGACATTAACCAGTATTTCGCTAGCCTATTGTGGCTAATTACCTTATTAACATATGCACACAGCAGGCTTTACACCTTTAGCTCTACACAATGAACACCTTTGCATTGATTCACCCATTAACACAGATTAACATAGATGCTATGCTAGCGAACTCATAAACTCAGCAGACTAGGTTAAATACAAAAATGAGCAGCAAAAACCTGGCCTGTTAGCATGAATATTAGCGAACTCAGATGGCTAGATAAACAACTCACCATTTTAACGGAATTCACTGCCTTTAGCTCCGTGACAACAGTGGATTCAGGCACAGCTTTCGTTTACACTCTATATTACAATAAGGCATAGTCAGTATAATCAATAATGATTACAGAACTTGTTTAATTTACTTCCTATTGTTTTTTCAGCTTACCAAGCAGATAACGCAGCCTCCTATGCTCAAGTGCAAGCGCCAAAAGAACGTGCAGTGACGCAAAACTAGAGGCGTAACTGTAACAGAGCCTAGCTGGCAGCTGATTGGTCAACTCAGTGCCTCATAGAATTCACCCATTGGCTCACTTACACGTCCATCAAATATACAAAATTAAAGTTAACCCTTTCGTGACTGGGTTAAACAGCTACATAGGGTTTCTCATTATTTAACCTGGCTACACTCTCCCCCTTTGAACTCATGTACGTCCCTGTACATGGCAATGGTTGAACTGTTTGTATCTCAGGGTACAGGACAGAAGGATATGTGTTTTCACCTTCAGTTAAAATGTCAGCCACAGCTGTGGTTAACCCCTGAAAGAATGATTTAACAGCTGTGACAAAGGGGTTTCCAAGTTCAGTATAGTCAAGTCTCTTTGACGGCTGACGGTTTCTCTCTGATCTCCTGACTGTTGTATCCTTTATTTCCTTTTCTGGTTCTTTACTTCCATTGCGACTCATCTCCTTCTCACTCTCTAACATGTCAGAAAACACTGGAAGCTGCTCAATTTGGATGTCATCATCAGGTAAGTTTTGCTCCTCCACAGGATTTTTACTAGCAGGTAAGTTACTTTCGGTCATAACTATTTCATCAACTTGTTCACCAAGCCCGACTCTTTCGGTAAGTAGGTCCTCAGTGTCGTAGTGGTGACAGTTAGGATCATTAAGTGTGAGGGGACTGTCTGAGGCACCATTGGACATATCAGGTGGCTTGTT